GGCCCGGGGCTTGGCAGCAGAACCCCCTCGCTCAGCCCCCCAGCCCGGGGAGCGGCGGTTTGCCGGCGGGCAGACAGACGGACCTTGTGTGAGCTTACGTGCTCCAGCGCCCTGTTTTCCCCGGCTAGTCCGCCCGGCGGGTGTTGCTCCTCGTTTCGTACGCCCCCATTGATTACCACAGCACAGCTGCTGCGGGTCGCTTCAGCAGGCGTAAAAAATCATCAACCCTTCTGCCGGGTTTATGGGTTTTGAGGAACGATCTCGTTTCCTGGAAGCTTTATGGCGTACGTAATTAATGTGGCACAAAAGCAACTGGGAATTGGTTTGTAGAAGCAGCCAAACACAATTCTTTCTCCGTGTGTTCTTAACGTTGCGGAAATTTATGCAAAGGGCTGTAGATTTTTTTTTTTTTTTCCTTTTTTACTTTGACAGACCTTATCTGAGTTTTGATTCTTTGGCTGTGTTCTGCAGCTTGTCTGTCCTGCGGACAGCCCAGGGCTTCCTGTAATCCTCTCGCTGATTGCACAAGGCCTCTTCCTCAAACGCAGTGTATCAGCCTGTCGTACGCGTGATGTGGTTTCCTTTCCCATTCAGAGTTTATACTTTTGCGAAATTACTGGGTAGGAAAAGTGACTTTTGGAGGAAAAAGCATGGCATAGCACACAGAAAGACCCACCCTGGCAAGGACTGCTCTTCCTGAGGAGCTCTGCTAGGGCATGCACCAGAAAAGCAGATCTGGACGACAGCGAGCACCGGTTTGCAATGTAAAGCAGTCACGTTTTGCCCTAGTCCCGTGGCCTGGGACAGCCAGAATAAAAGGTGGGATATGTAGTGTTAGAGAACTGGAGCACAGGGGAGGAAAGGAAAGCCAAGGAAAGGCGGGCAGCAGGGCAGGTTAATGTTAGTGTGCTGATTTGTGGCCAGGCCCAACCAAGCTGCTGGTACAAGTTTCACATCTGAGCTGCCGTCCAAGGACCCGTTGCTTGATGTCGTGCCGGTTGCTCACCCGTGCTCTTTGGGTCTGTAGTTGCAAAATGTTGCCAAAGATCCCACAGTTACACAGTGGTCGTTGAGTCTTCAGGTAGTTTGTGTGCCCCTGGGAAATCTCTTCTCTTTCTCATGAGTTACGCTGGGTTTGACAACGATCGGCAACGTGGACCTTGTGCAGCCGGCGCTTCAAACTCTGACCCTGGCTGTGTCCTACAGGAGTCGTCACAGGATCAGCAAAGGGTTTTGCAAGGGGATTTCAGCAAAAATCTTCTCCTACGTAAACACAGCCAGGCATGCTGGTATAGACAAAGTCCCACTGGTCGCCTTTAAGCGGGAGTTTTGGAAAAATTATCAGTTGAACAAATGTTGGCTAATAGGTGAGGAAGAGTGATCCATAGCACACGCTTGGTGAGGAGCTGAGTTGGCAGAACTGAAAACTAATTCAGCAGTCTCTGCTTCAGTAGTTCATGAATTTGCGCTGTGCTGTGGCTGCACGGAGGACCAGTGTGGCTTTGGGATGCACTGGGACTGCAGAGCAAAACAGGACTGAGCCGTGGCCAAACGTGGACTTCTGTGGTTCGTTTTGGGAACTACGCTACCAAAAATCTCTTGGCTGTAGGGAACGAAGCCCAAAACAGCAAGAGTGGGGTTGGTGGAGGGACAGCCTTGCGAGACAAAGTTTAAAAGTGCCTGGGTGAGGGAAGGATTTATTTTTCTGAAAGCTGAAATCCGTGAAGCCCCCGAGCTCAAAAGCTCATCTAGTCAGTTACTGCTCGTTAGCCTGCTGTCATTTTTATCCTTTGTCCTGTAACAATTGCCTGTATTGGCTGTTGGATTACCGAGCGGTTTTTTCTCGCCCCTACAAGCTCTGTGGGGCAGATAGGATATCTTGGCTCGTCTCTTGGCCTGCAAATGTTGTTTGCGCTTGCATAAAGAACGTGATACCCCTGTAGTGCAAGGTCTGTAATGTGCAATCTGCAGGAGGAGATGAAACGTCCTTCTCGGTTCTAGGCCCTGGATAAAGGACTGCAAGCTCGTCAAATTACTGACGCCTTTGTAAATAACGTTGTCTGGTTTTAATCATTTAATAAAATGTGCCTATTCTCTTTAATGGGGATGCAATATATAAACTTTAGAAACTACAGGCGTGAAGAGATCGGTCTGATATTTGGTTAAAAAAAGACAAAAATAGTTTAAAAAGATGGCGCTATCCAGCTGCCAGGGAAATGCATGATGGAAAGATACTTCTGTGCTTGGAGGAGTCTCGGTTGGTTTCACAGTGTTGTCACCTGTGCTGTTACGCCAGGCCTGAATGTTTGACCCCTCTTGGCTGAAAAGGACAGAGGAGCCTTTGTCTGAGTGTCAGAGTGTCTCAGCCTTGCAAGGAGGAGGCGATAGTCCGCAGCAGTTTACCCAATACACATGTGCACCCCACTTAAGAAAAGGGAAACCATGTTTGTGCAATTCATATTCGGTAATTGAGAGAGAAGATGGTTTTCACAGCTTCCTCTACACACATCAAATACGTAGGTAAGGCAGCGCAAGAGAACAAAGCACGCTTCTGACTCATGTGTTACGGGTCCTACTGTGCTGCCAGCAATCAGTGCCGCAGCTCTCTGTCCCCGAAAGGGGACCGTCCCTGTGTCCCCATGTGACTGGCATCCCATGGTATTATTTTCTAAGCTCTCTAAAGAAATAGCATTATCCCATAATTTACCCAGCGCAGTAGACTCTCAAAAGCAGGAGATAAAGAAGAATAATATGCTTTATAATATGCTAGAGAACAAACATGGAAATGCTTCGCTGTTAAGGAGAGATGTGGGAAAAAAAGGAGAGGAGAAGAATGCGCTGCTTTGGTCATCCACTGTGGCTCCCGGACTGTCCGGCTGGGAAGGTCTGGGATTTTGGCGGAGGTTGCGTGCATTGGGAGAACTAGGCAATATCTACAGCTGTAGCCCTCACATCTGGGCAAGAAGCAGCAGGAGCTCAAGGGTTGGGTGAAAAGGTGAGGGTCCTTCTGACGAAGGGTGGGGGATCTTAGAGCAGTGGCAGAGATGAAGAGAGGTCTCTTTATGGGAGAGTGGGAAGGGCAGGTTGAGCTTGGCGGTCTCTTCTTTTTTTTTTTTCTTTTCATCTTTTTCTCATTTCAGTTCTGCTTGAATCACTCAACAAGAATGAGCAATCAGCCAATGGCCAGTCCCAATCCAGGGAGTCCACAAATCCTCAGTTCAAGAAAATGAGTGGAGACTTCCCATCGGCCAACGGAGAGGCTGGGGGGGAGGCCCCCAAGGGCTACACTCAGGACCAGGTGGATGCAGTGAAGAGGTGTGTGTGCAGCTCTCCATGGCTTCAGCTTGCAGTTTGAGTTTATCATGCAATACCAGTCTGTTTTTCACAATGTTTTAAAGATGTAATGGTGGAACATGAAGGAGGAAGGCAGAAAGAGTAGGTAGAGTTGGACAACAGCTCATGTTCTGTGCCATGTGAGGAGATCTGGTCAGCTTTGAACCATATCGAGTGGTTTTTAATTCACTAGGTGTTTAAAAAGGTATCTAGGAGGATAGCTACAGCAGCCCTGGGAGGCAGCTGGGTTGGGCCTACGAGGGATGAGATTTGTCCCCCAAAGGCATGTATGAGGGCTAGAACTGTAGGCATGTAGGCCTTTTCCAGGCTGAGGTCCAAAGAGGCATTTTGGATGCATTCATCTCATGGACTTAACATTAATGTTTGCTTTAGCGTTATTCAATAATACTGTGAAAAATCCCGTGTGGTCCTAAGATCCTGTAGGTGGAAGTCATGGCTCATAGCTTGCAGTAGACAGCCCTCCTGCTCTAAGCTTTGCTCTAGTAGCAAGTGACAGGGCATATCCTTTTTCCTCTCTCCTGATGATATTCTGCTCATGGTCTCTCTTAGAGCCCAATAAAGTAGAAATCCACCACAGGACGCTTCACTCTGTTAGCACAATACACTTCTAAAGCTTCTGCTGGAAAGTCCCAGGACATGTTTATCTAGTCACCTGTTTTCCCAACCCTGTTTCAAGCTGTTCTTTATTCCTTTCTGCCATTTGCAAATACTGGAAGTTCTGAACTGCAGGCACAGCCACTTGGTAGACTTTATTTAAGGTTATGGGCATGGTCTGAATTGCGCAAGAGCTGCTCTGGCTAATGGACTTACGGAGACGCTTGTTACGTCACCCATTTCTCCAGAAACCCAGCCTGCTGTATTCTGTCTCATCGAAGTCATGTGAGAAGGAGGAACCATCGCTGGGCTGCGAGTGTGCCCAGAACGAGCTGGGCTGCTCATACAGGCTTGGGCAGCTCCCTCTTTCTTCCTCTAGAATTCAGCTGATGTTATTTTTAAGTCTGTGAATTGACTGAATCTGAGGAAGTGGGGGGGGGGAAGCCAACAGCCCAGCTATCCTTCAGATCCCGGCCTGCTGTTTCTAGTCCCTCCCAAAGAGCCTCCAAAACACGAGCATGATGAATCTGAAGCTTATTTGCCAATCACATTCTTCAGCGGTTGATATCATTGCCTGAGGAGAGGCCCTTCTACCTCTACTGGCTTGACTTGCTCTGTGAGAGTGTTTGTGTGCTAGTAATGCAGGCACAGCGGGAATGAGTCTGTGAAAAAAAATGGGTCACCCTCTGAGGAATTAGAGCTGAGTAAACCAGAGTTCACTGAACAACATTGATCGAAACTGTGATGCGTGAGATGTTGCAGAGTTGACATATTCAATGCAAAGTGGTTTTCACAGCTGAAACTAACTGTCCATATTTTCTCCCCTCTCTGCTGGCAGGGTAAAGCAATGCAAAGATTACTACGAAATTCTGGGAGTAAACAGAGAAGCTTCTGATGAGGACCTGAAAAAGGCTTACCGGAAACTTGCACTGAAATTTCACCCAGATAAGAACCACGCACCAGGGGCTACAGAGGCATTTAAAGGTAAAGAACATTTCCAACTTTGTGATTTGCCCTCAACTATCAGGCGATGGTGCTGAGTTGGGCTAGCAAGGACTCTTAAACAACCTCACGAGTCAGGTAGAGTGAAATAAAGCTCTTCTTAGTAAAGTTGTATCTCTTCTTCTGAGCTTTGTATTATGAACAAGGTATACTCTAAGCTTAAAATAATAAACACAGGTTGGCATGGATAGGCTTCACCTCTGGTAGTCGGACAAGGAGAAGCCTTCCTTCCCTTTCTCCTAGCAGCCCTCCCTGTGTGTTGCTCCAGCCTCCTGCCACGCCACTCAGGAGGAAATTGGGATGTTAACCGTCCTTTTTTTCGGAGAGATGCAGGAGCATTCACCTAGCAGGGGGAAGCTCCAAGTCCTGCAGCCATCCAGCACAGGGCAGGTGCTGGGGTGCACCCCTGTCTACTGACAAATCCAGTAGAAACCCAGTAAGTTGTGCAGCACCAGAGGCAGCCCTTGGGTTCACGAATCCCTTGGGAGAAATGTTGCTGGGCAGGCCCGATTGCAGGAAACTCAGTCTTCTTCAGAACTGGTATTTAGACTCTTCCACTCATTCAGCATTTCAGGCAGCCAGTAAGCCTTCAGGTTTCTAAGCAAGCACTCGGCACCTGACGGTTGCGAAAGGCTGCGGATGGAATTGGTGGATAGAAACCGCAGGTGAAAATTTCTAGGGTGAAACTGCCCCAGCCATACGGCTGAGCCCAGCCAGAATGCAAAAAAGGTCACCAGGAGCTTCAGTTCTGCTGTAAAGAGCCCGATTCTCAGGGCCTCTCTGCAAATGCAGCAGGGATGTTTCCTGGGTAATAAGATACCTTAAAACTGGAGTAATTTTCCAAGGGAAATGCTATTGCTTGGAAGATATAACCCCATTTTCCTTTGCAAGCTGTGAAAGCTTGATTGTTATCAAGCTAAATGGAGAACTTCTTGGTGCCACTTGTACAGCACTGATTTTGCAGTGTTAAGCCATTTAAATACTGTGGTCTGATTCCGGCCATCTTGGGAGTGAAATGCATGAGACTTCTGCTGGAGCAGGGAGCAAGGCTAGCCTGGTGTGAGTGTATTGATACAGTATTCAGGTAAGCTTCTAGTAGACATGAATTCAGCAGTAAAAGTCTTATGTAAGGTTTGTTCAAGTCTTCTAAGACTTAAATCCATAACTGATAAGTGTGTTGCTGTTAGCAAATAATGAGCTGACCCCCAGCTACTTGGGAGAGCCTGTTTTAGTATGGGGGCCAGATTAAAGAGTGAGCATCTGCAGACATCTATCTACACTGCATGTGCAGTAAGCTGCTGTTCGATAGTTTATCCTTCAGTCCTTGCTAAGTGGCGAAAGGCAGGTTTCTTCACCTGTAATCTTAAATAATGATATTTGCCAAAGGCTTTGACAAGAGTTACATGCCAGAAGTCGTGCGTTAAGCAAGGTGCCCTTTATCCTCCACTGCAGAGCTATCTGCTCTCAGATTATCTCCCCTCCAAGCCTTGCCTCGTTGGCTCTCCCTCCCGTCCTTCAGCCCCCGAGCTGAGCTCTTAGTTTGCAGGGCTCGCTGAAGTCCAGCTGTTTGGTTCCAGAGGGTGAAGGGGGAAATGTGCACTGCTATGAGGGTTTTAGTTAATTTTTTCTTACATTGATGTATTAGTTGAAGTCTTGGCATTCATCTTCCCAGTGACAGCTGATAAAGCGTTACATCTTGTCCTGAGACCTTGTTTCAGTCCATAGTTGCAGTTGGCTGCAGTCTGTCTTGCAGCAGATTTGCATCACTGCCTTTGGCTGATATTAGAAAAAGAGTTGAACCTGGCTACTTTGAGCTAAAATCCTGATTTGGAATAAGGTGTTTCTTGGGCTTTGTCAGCAGAAAGTCAGACAGCGAACAGAACCCTGAACTGCTCCATTTTCGTTGCTTAACCGCACAGTTTGAAAGAACAAGCTAATATGCTGAGAGTTAGTCCTTGTTGTCTGGCTTCCTTGCCTGGTTGTAGAAATGTTTGATCTGTGTGCACTAATTATAACTAAGAAGGAGAACAAGTGTGTTGACATTACATCCTCCATGCTCCAAATCTCTAGCCCAAGAAGAAACCGTACACCTCGATCTGACTACCGGGAAAATATTGAATCTTGGAGTTAATCTCCTCCAAAGGGCATGTATCTCCCTTTTCTATCACTTCTGCCTCTGCCTTTTATACACCAGGCAACTACTGCCATGAACATTTTTGCCTCTTTGCGACACAGGGAGGAGAGAGGATAGGCTCTGCAGTCATGTAGGGAGGCTCTTGGGTAGGTTGGCACAGAGGGGAAGTGGTAAGCTGGAACGTGTCGAGAGAGGAGTACAGAAATAGGAGGGTGGCAGGCAGGCGTTCTGGTAGAAAGGCTCAAACATGCTGAGAGTGGAAGGAGAGTGACCTGGGGAAGTGGCGGGGGTTTAGTTCCAGTACATTTCCACCGTCACAGGCATTGGTTAACAGTCCTTGTAATTATGCACCTTACTCCTGGCATCTGGAAATTTTGAAGTCCATAGCTGACAGACACAAATTATAGCCAACATTTCCTTACTAGCTTTTATGGGAGGTTTTAAAGTCTCTTTCAGTGATCTTCCGTATTTAAATTCTTTGCAGTTCTGGTTTTAGGCTATGACATTGAATTCCCTTAATGCCACTTTTGAATAAAATTTGTCAGCTAAAATTGTATTTTCCTATACAGTTGCTTACGGCTGAAGGATTTGGGCATTAGTTGTTCAAAAGAAATAACAAGTTTCATTAAGTGAAACGTGTAGCTGCTCTACTACCAGTATTGCCTTCGCAATTCATAGTTTCATTCATTTGAGAGGGTTTCTCTAGGGACGTACACCAAATTCATACCAGTCATATCATAACTTCTTCATTTGAATTAATTAAGGCCTTTTTCATCGAGTCTCTTGGTGTGGTTTCCTTCTGTCTGTGTTCGCTAGAGAAGCGTGCCAGGTACTAGTGCTGCACCGCTGAACTAGCCTGTTGAAAAGACGTGGGTAGTTGAGAATCTCATTTGTGTAATGAGAAAGGCAAGTCCTGGCAGTTTGCAGGGCTAAATGTTTTATCTGTAGAAGAAAGAAGCTAATTGCTTCCTTATTGTCAATATTTCAGCCATTGGTAATGCGTATGCAGTGTTGAGCAACCCAGAGAAGAGGAAGCAATATGACCAGTTTGGAGATGAGAAACTCAACCCTGCTCGGCACGGACACAGTCACTCGGACTTCCACCGCGGGTTTGAGGCAGACATCTCCCCCGAGGACCTCTTCAACATGTTTTTTGGTGGTGGTTTTCCTTCTAGTAAGCACGTTAAACCTTAATCTCTTGAATGGGATCCGATCCTTTTGACAGAGCAACAATGCAGTAGTGATTTATTTGGCCATGCAAGGATTGCTGAGTTTGATGAGAGGGAGTTCTCCTTCACACATGACCTAAACACCTAGAGTTCTCTAAATTGTTCAGATGGGTACTTGGAGAACTCGGCATCCAGCAGGTAATACCATCAGAGCTGGACTTCTTCCCAACTTCAGGTATTTGTTTGCATGCTGGCAACATTAGCTGTTATTAGGTTGGGTTGAATGTTAGAACAAAAAATGACTTGTTTTAAGGCTAGTTGTAAAAATAATCCTGTTTTGAAGAAGGTTTTTCTGCCTGGTGGTTTTAGAAGTTAAATCTTCTCATCAGAACAAACTATGGTAATGCCTGGGCCTTGTTCTTGATCTGTATCTGCTCGGCCATGCAGCTGAAGCAGTTTCTCTGAGATCAGTGTCCACTTCCTTCTTTCCACTGTGTCCCATAAAAAAGAGAAAAGTGTTATTTCTAGAGCATAATTTAAACCTCTTGAATTGAAAATTAAATCTGTATCCTGTCTGTCCACAGTGCTGATCATGGTTTGGGTAGCAGGAAAGAACCAAGTAACTGTTCCTTCACTTGATCAGTTCGGATCAAAAAACCACAGATTTAATATAAGGTTAAGCGTATGTTAGAAGACTCCCTTGTATTTGCTCTAGTCATATTTGACCGGCAGTCGGGGCAGTGGTTATTTGACCTTTGTGGACCAACTTGGAAAAATAAGTATTTTTGTTTTAACTGAGAAGATTTCCTCTGGTAGCTCTTTTCCTATCCAGTATGTAAGAATTAACACACTAACATCAAGTACTTGCAAAGGCATCTTGAAGCCTTTTGCAGCATTCATGTTCTGCCTGTCAGAGAGGTGAAGCTACTCCAGTAAAAACAGCAGCTTGCTATTTTAGCTCAGTTTTTTTTTTCCTTTCCTCACTGTCCCAAGAGAATTCAGGACTGCTTTCTCAGCCGGTCTCCCTTTTCAGCTGTAGTTTTGACATTTAAAACAAGACATGGAAGAGCTCTGTTTTTAGGTGGAAAAACTACCAAAATTTTCTTTTTGTTACTGGTTTTAATCTAAAGTAAATTCACTTAGAAGCGAGGAGGCCTGTACAAGATATTCTTTCTACATAGCTGACCCTGCTTTGAGCAGGAGGTTGGACCTCCTGAGGCCACTTCCAACCTGAATTTTCATGTGATCCTACAAAATCCTATAGATGGATCTCTGTGCCCACCACCAGTTTGCCTTCAGACATATCTGCTCAGTACACCTTAGGAATACTCCTTTTTCAGCTGTGGCTTATAGAGTTCAATTTGTAAGTGTTGGCTTCAGGTGATGAATAGAAGTTTTTTGTATGAATTCTTCTATCAGTCTCCTGTGGAGTCCCATATCCACTTCACCCTAAAGCTACAGCCATTTCTGTCAAGACAGCATGATGGAGTGGCTTGAGTCAGGGGCTTCGGCCGTGTGGCCTGCTGACCAAAACCATGGACTTGCACCTTGTGCACTGGGACATATGCAGGGATCTCAGGAATAGCCCAAGTCTGTCAAATCACCATTTCACTGAGACATCCCGGCTCCAGCCTGGAAGCAGCCCTGCCGGACAGATGTGCTGTCCTTCTTCCAGCTCTGAACTGGCTGGCATGCTGCTGGCTACATGAAGTAGGCTGAACTGAGAGCAGTGGTAATGGCAGACCAGATCTAAGTGTGAGCACAGCGTGGATTCTTTTACAATCTCTATGTCCTTATATCTTTGCTGAATGTGGCCCGAACCAAAGAAACAGATCAAGCCCATTCTGACAATGTTCAAAGTTAAAATTCCTGAATTTACTGTTGTCAGCACCCAGTCTACTTTTTCCTACTGTGTTTTTATTGGTGAGGCTGACATGGAACACGGCCACCTTTCGTGGTTCCTTCCTGGCCAGCCAGCACCGTCTTACTTACTCTGACTTTTGTTTAACAGTTTTCTTTTGCCTATAGGTAATGTTCACGTATACAGCAATGGCAGGATGCGATATACCTACCATCAGAGGCAGGACAGACGAGAACATCAGGGTGACGTAAGTGGAGAACAGGCAGGGGGCTGGGAGTCTAAAGGTTTTTCTGATACATGAATTTTGCGAGCTAGTTGGTGTGGCTGTCTTGTGAAACAGTCCTGCTTGTTTCCACCCCCCTGAACAGAAAGCTGGGGTCGTGGGAAGTGAGCTGCCTTCAGAATTTACACCAACTTGCAGTTTAATTTACTGGTGGTTGTTCTCCCAGGACTCTCATAGCTGTCATCCAGCAGGGAAAACGCTGGCGTGTCTTGAAACAGTGCCACCTTGAAATAAGATTGCACCAGTAAAGTGTACCTGTCTTTACCACAGAATAAGCATTTCCTTTCTGATTTAATTCTGTAATTTCAAAAGGTAAATCCACTTTTTAGATAATATGGATACTCGTGCCTCCTCCCAGCATGAACTCATTCTCCCTTTTATTCCAGTGTTGAAGATGGGGTGTTTCTAATCTGTGATGCTTAATTAACCAAGGAAGACACTTTATAGCATGAGCTATTTTTACGTTTTCCCATCACAGAAGATCTAAGTACATCTCCAGCACTCCAAGCCCTCTGGTCTAGAGAAGTGAGAATGAGGGACTTACTATTTAAGAGACCAGGGTTATGTATTGAAGATTACTATTTTCTGGGGATAGCCAATTATATTTTTTTTAAACAACCAAGAACACCTTCCTGAATATTTTTTCTCAAGCTTAAAGGGGAAAGTGTACTCTGCTGGAACTGGAGGGAGCTCAGGAGGTGAGGTAGAGGGGGAATTACTTTCATCTGACACTGAAGAGGGGAGAAGGCTCTCCATAAAACCAGTTCTGCTCCCTAGCACAAGCAGGACAGAAACCACATATGCTCTAGGAAAAACAAAATATGGGCATGAGGCTTTTGAAATTCGCTCACAAGGTTCCCCCTGCCAGTCCCCTCTGCCCTTTGTCACATCCAGAGAAGGGGCAGTGGGTTTGGACCTTTGGAGTCACGCTGCCCTTTCTGGAGGGGAACTGTGGGCTGCTGGGTTCCCACTGGTTATTTTGAGGTGCCTCCTAAGCCGAATGCCTGCAAAAAGCAGGAGAATCGAGGTTGTGTTAGGGCTGGGAGGGAGGGAGAGCGATGCCATGGGATCCTTGTGTACAAGTGTATGGGTGGCACTCCACTGTGTGTTTCTGTTCCTTCAGGGTGGCCTTGGGTTGTTTGTCCAGCTGATGCCTATCCTCATCCTGATCATTGTGTCTGCTCTCAGCCAGATGATGGTCTCCAGCCCACCCTACAGTTTGAGCCAGAGGCCGTTAGTACCTGTTACTCTAAAACTTATCCAGCTGGGGAGGGGGTTGGGTTCTGGAGGGCAGGGTGGTGTGACAGGGTAGGGATCTAGGCTCTCTGTTTTTTCTGTCTTTTTTTTTCTTTTCCTTTATCTCATCACACCGTTGCTCTTGCTGCCAGATGTGTCACACATCAGTGAAGGCCTCCTGGGTCTCAAACAGGTCTTGAGATGGAAGGTGTGGGGAAGGTTGGAGGGTGCTTACTTGCCTAGGGGAGGATGTTCTTTGACAGGGACCTTCTGCAGCCCATACCCACAGCTGGGTGTGTCTGTCCTAGAAAGGGACAGACGAAATGACTTTGAGAGGCTGTGGCCCAGCACCGAGATCCCTTATGCAGGATGAATTGAGATGTAGAGTTAAATTGGGGTGTGAAAAACAAAAGCCAGATCTGTTCTTCATGAAAGCCTCAGTTTATACCAAGTACAAAGCAATAGAGGAAGAGAAGAAGGAATAGAAGACACTCCTGTAAAGACACTCCCAGAGAAATCTCCTATTTTTGAACTCTAATCTTGCCATGAAATAGCTATGGCCAGACATTTCCTATGCGAAAGTGAAGCTGTTTCATTCTAGATCCTGTGGAAATGCCCCAGTCTGCTCACTTGGCCGACAAATGAAATGAGTATTCTTACTCACTTTGCAGTGCCAACAAAGAATGGGAAAACAGGCTTGATTTCTGGCTGCTTGCATCATTCTTGACAAAAGCTTAATGCATTTTCAGTGGAAGTTCCTTATATGTATTTAAAGAGGGTAGGCTTGGTTACAGCCAGTGGGCCCTGTTTAGTTTCACAGGTGACAACATTTGCCATTGATGATGTTAAATTCTATAAAACCCAGCTTAGCTTTCAGGTCCAAGGTAAAGACTGACATTAGTGCTTGGAACCGAAAGATGGAGCGGTTTTGAAGAGAGGGCACAGTTAAGGGTTATTCTGAGAGGCTAAAGAGTATTGAGATGTGATTTCTGCTGTTGATATTAGGACTATAAAATTAAGCATTATATATGTATGCCAGTTTGTTCTATAGTGGTGAAGAGGCGGTTTATGGGGTGAGAAGACGTTCAGTGGATGGCAGCTTTTAAGTGGGCTGGGGTTTGCTTCCAGCCTTGTCAGCTGTCAGAGGAAAGCCATCCCTGAGCCCCAGGTGTTTCTCTGCTGCTCGGTTTCCCATTCCCTGTGCTGTCCCTGTCTCTGCGTGCTCAGGTAGCAGCAAGCAAACGGATTTCCAAGTTTGGATTTGGACAAGAGCAGCAAATGAGCTGATCCAGTCCTCTGTCATCCTTCCTGAGTGACCAAGGCACTTCAAATGGAATTAGCTCGCTCGCAAAAGGCATGCTGTGCCGGCAGGCGGTGCTGCTCGCTTGCTCGCTCGCGCAGGCAGCCAGGCCCCTTTTGCTGCCTGATGTAAAGGGAAATGCTGTGCTTGACTGTCGTTTGGCAGAAAGCTGGAGCTCGCCGCACTGAACTCAGTGAGCAGGAGGCGAGAAGCTTTTGGACCTGGTGAGGTTTTAATGGCACACGGAGATTTTAATGCCACTTCTTGATAGTGAAGCTGTCACTGAGAAAGGCAGAGTCCTAAAGAACCATTTGTCACTCTGTTGCCGTTGCAAATGTCTTCCAAAAACTAGCTTTCTGCTGAAAGACCTGTCTAGTTGTGGGACTGTCTGTGCCACCCTGCTCTTCAATAACACCTCATCAAATTTGCTTGACTTAATTGCATGTCTGACTTGGGGTGGCAGGTTTCTTGTGCCAGGTACTGCCCTTATTTTCATGCTTTACACTGAAGGATGCTTGAGTGGATGCTGCTGACGCTCTGCGAGCTTAAATACTCCTCCTTTGAGGGCACACTTTGTAGCCTCCGTAATTCATCTTTATACAGAAGAGGAATATGAACTTTGGGAGAGCTTAGGGCTCTGTCTTGACAGGTAAAATAGTGAGCTGAGCTTCTTGCAGACTGCATCTCTGCCAGCAGGCACTGCCGGAGATGCGTTAGCCTTTGTCTCGAAAAATGCCAAGAGAGCTCTTTGGTCATGTTCAGTCTGTCCGATTGCCCACCACTCGTCCCTGAGTGCTGGACCTTGATGAAACGTGCAGGAGTCTTTGAGTCACTCCTGTAAACCCTGATATCAGACTGAAGGGCGAGCCGGATGAGTTAATGTTTATACCTGGCTTAAGAATCAGGCTCGCTTTTAATGCAGCAGCCAGCTGGTATTTATTATGGGAAACTTTGGGCACGTCTCCAGATGGAGCTGTTCCTGATGAATCCAGCATTTGGGCACAGGTCCTGTGTTACAGCTTGCAAACACGCCCTAGTGAGTATCTCTAGGTTTGCTGGAGCGTTGGGGAAAATAAGTACAGGGCTCTGTCTGAAATGCAAATCCACAGGGGTAGAGTAAGAAGAGGTTTCCTTCTAGAAAGTGCTTTCTGTACTGGTCGGTGCAGACTCGAGTGCTGAGCGGGTCTAATTTTGTTCTTGCAGCAACAGTGTTCGTTGCAGCATGTGATGTGGTAGAGGAAGCTGACGTTCGTGGGATTAGCAGATATCTTAGCAGAGGGGACTGGGTTTGACCGATGGGCAGCCTTGCTGAGCGAGGGGGCGTTGCTGGGGAGCTGTGACAGCCAGCCCCTGCTCTGCCCTCACCTCGGTGCTGCCGTGCTCCTCTGCACAGGCACCGTTCTGCCTCGCTGGCTGCTCTCACCCTGCACCACACAAGCATCAACCTCCAAGCTTTGTAACCATCCTTGAGGCTCACTGCCAAAAACAGATGATGGTGTCGTCAGCAAGGAAATTGCAGAGAGATTTAATTAGTGCTGAAAATTCTAATGAACACTTTATTTTAAGTGGGTTTAGGCCTTGGGCAATCTGCCTCAGAGTTATGTCTGTATTCAGAGCTCTGCCCACCTAGCTAGAGGCCTGGCAGGTTTTCTCTCCCTGTGTTGGTGTTCCATTTCCACCAGAAATGCTTCTCCTTTCCAAACCTTCAAGTCTGTGGACACATAGGAGTATGTTTTCAGCGGTTTGGTATTGTGGCATGTTGTGCATTATAAAGAGCTGGGAGCTTTTTGCTCTGCCCTTGAAGCGTGTCCTACACTGTTCTGACTCTTCTCCCTGAAATAGGTCTGTGGGTCACATACACAGGAGAGTGACAGAGCACTTGAAAGTCGTCTACTACGTATCCGAGAACTTTGCAGATGAATACACGGGCACGAACCTGAAAAATGTTGAAAGGAGTGTGGAGGACGACTATATTGCAAACCTTCGAAATAACTGCTGGAAAGAGAAGCAGCAGAGTGAGTAGTGTGGGGTCAGGAGCAGAGGGTCTTGGCTGCTGCATGAGGTCGGCTTCGGAAAGGTCTTTTACTGGGGACTGAGTTATGCTAAAGTTATACTTTAACATGGTGTGAGCACATTTCATGTGTTGTTGGCTTTTTTTTTCTGTCTATGACTTCGTGACAAATCCGGTATGTGGGGTTTTTTGTTTTGTTTTGTTTTTTAATGCTGCTGTAGAACTGGTCAGACAGGAGTTGTGCTCCGGAGGTTCCCTGCCATGTCAGTAGGGTATCTCTGATTTCCAGTGGAGGGGGAAGGTTGCAGCCATCTCATTTTCAGGAGGCCCCTGATAGCTCTGCGTAATATTTTAGTTGTTCGAGGACCATGTCTGAAAATCTGCTGCCCATGGTGTCCTCCATCCTGCATCCCATCCCTGCTCAGAAGGCTTTGGTGGCAGCACTGACATGGCCTTGCATGCTGCTGAAGGCACGCAAGGGTTAGGAGGGACGGCTACCCAGCCAGACAGCGTGAGAGATCATCTGGCCGTCTAGCCAGGCAGCAGAGTGTGGCGAGGGCAGCAAACTGTTTGCCCCGTCCCAGGGGCGACCTGACTTCTCTGCCCGCCCGTTCCCAGCAGGTGATGATCACAGCTCCCGGAGCAGTGGCCGGGGTAGGATTTGAGTGCCTGGGACGCAGGAGGGGCTGTTAGAGCCCCCAGTGGTGCCAGATGAGGCCGATGCACCGAGCTCTGAACCTCTACGTTTCTTCTTCCCCGTGCTGCTGGGGTAACCTTTGTGTAGGCTGCCTCATGTGCCTCCTGGGACTAGGGGCAGGTCCTGTCAGGTTCCTAAGGCTTTCCCTGGGATGGATGAGCTGTCAGCAGATGTTACGCCCATCCTGTCCTAAAGGGCACGGGGCATTTCCTCAGCCTCATCCTGTGCTTCAGCTAGCCTTGAAGAACTTGAGGTGCCTCCTCTTCCCAGCAGAGCCTGTGGTGGGATGTGGCCTGGCGGGTGGGTCTCCTTCCACATCGCGTTCGTAACGCTGGGCTTTTCCCGTTGCAGAGGAAGGCTTGTTGTACCGGGCACGCTACTTCGGAGACTCGGATCTGTACCAGCGAGCACAGAAGATGGGCACTCCCAGCTGTAGCAGACTGTCAGATGTTCAAGCCTCTCTGCACGGATAGTCACCGCCTGCCCGCTCAGCAGAGGTCTAAGTACGAGCTGGTGATGCTTCCCCTAGCAGCGGAGCAGGGCATGATAGTGCTTTTCGTACTTACTTAAATCTCTGTTTGAGATGCATATCTTCACGAGTCTCCTCTGGATGCACACACGTCACGGGGGGAAGCACCCCCCTCCGTCAAGCATACACTCGTTAATTGGGAAATTGATTTTGTTTAGTTTGCATGTCGGCACCCTCAGCTCTCTCCAAGCTCCCTGTTTTCTCTGGCACTGTCGGTGTTGGGTCTCTAGGAACACAGCAAAAGCCCCGGGCGCGTTGGCGACTCAGCTGAGGTCTTGTCAACTCCGCATTCGATACAGCAGCTGTGCGCGCCTCGGCTGGTTGGAAGTTTTTTACCGGCCGTGGAAGCCAGCCGCCATGTTTTAATGAACCTTTGTTTGGTTGCTTTATTGTCTGTTTTACTGAAAAAGCTGTTATCCCCTGGCACTTGAAGCAGTATGATGACGGGGAACGGACTCCTACCAAACAGATGTTCCTTGCCCCCCATTGCCTTCCCATGACACTCAAGGAGAACAAAGCAAATGGCCAGAGTTCACAGCGGGCTGTAGGAGTAACTTACTGCGTCAAACTGGGAATCAAAGTAAAAACAGCTGAGGGGGAGTCTGGAAGACTGGGGGTTGGAGAGCGTGAATTAAGGCGAGCCCAGGTAGCACGCGTGAGACCGGCTGTGCTGGGTCACGGGAGAACTGCACAAAAATAATGAAAAAAATTGTCATGGAGTTCAGAGTCCTTTTTCTGCTTAATTATCTGGGCTGATTTCACCCACCAGATACTGCTGGAATGGCTGTAAAACATACAGGTCCCTCCTACCGCAAAATTATTTGAAAACAGGGTTTCTATAGAAAATAAATCGGAGGTGAAGCTTGCACCAAGTGTTAGTTGTACGGACACCATTTAGGCTTGCAAAGACTTCTTGGGGACGTTGGACATCTAGCTGCTTGATTTGTAGACACAAGTAAGGAGGCTTAGGAGGGGAGGTTTTGTTTGTTTTTTATTTTCCTTGGCAAAGGGAGCACGTCTGAAAGATTGGCCTTTAAAGCAAATCCTCTGGGTCGCATTCGGCCTTTTTTTTGGGTGTATCCTGTTTTTGGAACCATTCTTATCTCGATACACCCGCTGTCTTGTTTTGATAACTGCGCCTCTTCTTTCACGATAGACCGGCATTAATTACCTGCTTTGCTTTAATTCCCTCTCTGTACCCGTGGTCTGAAAAGAGAGCTGCTCCTAGGCAGAGGGCCCGCTGCGGATTGAAATAGTGCAACTGAAAAAGCTGCTGCCTGTAACTGGGGGGGGAGGCGGAGGAAGGGGGGTGGTACGGTGACGTGCGATTGTCCGGAGACTGACACCCCTACCGCTTTTGTTCCCAGACTCTTGGAATGCCTGAAGACTTTTGGTGAAGTGCACTGAGCCGAGGTGACAGACTTGATATTTAAAAGAATCAAACCTTATCTTAAAAATGGAATTGGAGAATTAGCAACGCACAACTGCCCTCTTTCTTCTCTCTGCCTGTCTCCGCCGTTCGACCTACGTCTCAGGCAGCGATTAGGACAGGAAATCAAGCTGCCCGTCTTCCTCCTTCCCCTCCGACACTGCTAGCGTGCGACAGTCTCGTTGCTCCTGGGATCCCACAACCCCGAGAACAAACGCGTAGAGTGTAAAATAACACTAACTGCAGAAGCCATGAAGCAAAAGGAGACCCTTCGCGACTGCGCTGGTCACTGCCGACGGAGAGAGAAATTTGACAATTTGGTGATAAAAGAAAACTTTAGATTAAAGAGAAGAAAATATAATCTATTTAGAATTAATTTATAGCTGTATATATATTGTACTTTTAAACTATGCAGGGGTTGGATGATTAAATTATTTTGTTTTCTGCCTGGTTTGGTAAACAGGGAAGCGGGAAGTCTCTTCCCAGGGTGTCTCGCTCTGCAGCGCTTTCCTGCCTGACACACTAAAACAAGAATCACTTCGCAGTTACTGTATTTTGCTTTCTGGAGGACTGCGGCCTTCTGCGGCTTAGGATGTCGATACCTGCCTTTCGGGTTTTAATAAAAGAAATTCCAAATCTGCAGGGGGTAACAAAAGAAATCGGGGAGACTGTCCAGATTTGTGGTGTGGTTTTGCAGTGTTGGCAGAAGCTGCAGCGGGTCAGCTGAGCCCCGGCGTCGCACTCGGTGACGGGAAGGATTGTCCTGGATGGTTTTTGCTCATCAGTTGTTGGGTTTATTTGTGCACTTAACTTCTTTTTTTGCAGAGTCTGCTTTTATTTTGCCTCGTAATCAGCGTGCGGCATTCGTTCTGTAAAGAGGGCTTTCCATGAGCCGTCTCCCTTTGTTGGGTTTTTTTTTGTGTGTCCAACACTTGGGGTTCCTCGCCCACCAGCACTCCCGTTTGCAACGTGGCCACGGCCTTGACGCCCTCTCTCTAACGTTTCCTAGAGAAGACCTGTGAAATACTGCTAATTCGTAAGAAACGGAGCTTTCTATTGCTTCTGTTGAAAGAAGTTTTGCCGGGGGAGATTGGAGGGTGCGCCTGATCTCTCCTCGGACCCCTCCTGAGCTCTGCAGCGCGTCTCACTCGATCACTGTCGGGCGGGACCAGCGTTAGGGCGGCGGGAGGGCACTCGAGGTTAGGAGACATCTCCTCAAAGCAAAACTGGCACAAGCGGAGCTACCTCCCATGGAATAAACTGGATATTTTTTTTTTTTGGGTACTCGCAGTTCATTTTTGTCTAAAGACATTTCCAGTAATAACCGTCCCCTGACACCCTCGGGGGAATGAAAAGCGCGGTGATAAAAAGGCTCCCAGGTGGGGTGGCAGGGGCTGGAAGGGGTGAGAGGTAAGGTGGTTTTATTTCTTTGTTGTTAGGAATCCATGTGCTCTGTCTTCAGCTATTTATTTATTTCGCAAAATATCAGCCCTCCCATTAACTGCAAGCATTGTTATCCCACAGCCACCACAACCTGGACCTGATTTTAAGGTGGTTTTTTTTAATGATTCCTCTACCTTTGGAAGGAATTGGGTGGAAGTATGGCACTTGGAAACAGCTCTTAATAGAGGCACAGGCTAGCCAGCATGAAGAGATCACGGGGAGGGGGTTAAACGAAAACCGTGTTTGCAGAAGGTGCTGAGTGTCTTGCACAACGGCAAGCCCAGAGCCTGCCCGCCAAAACCTTTTGATTTTTTTTTTCCCCACAAGTAGATCTCCATGGATAATAATGAGCGAGAAGGCGTAGATCCTAACGGATGGTCACAGAGGCTGTATCTCTCGATTTAGAATTAATTATACAATTGTACATCTATAAATAAATGTTTATAACGTGAAAGGCTCCAGCTGTGTTGGTGTCCTGCGGATCCTTGCCCCAGCCAGCTCCGGTTTTACAGCTCCTTCATGCCGCCTTCATCACATCTGCACAAGCGCTCGGCAAATGAAATTCGGCGTCTTTGCCGTCCCGGCAAGCCCCAGCGGCTGAGAGCTCCAGCGCTGCGGGAGGCTGCGAGGGCCTCCCCAGCATGGGAGAGGGAAGGGCAGGGAGAAGACGGAGAGGAGGTGGTGCCCCCCGAGTTAGCCATGGCTCCCGGCAAGGTGACGGCAAACGCTCAGCAGGACACCTTTGCTTCAAACTGGTTCCACTGGGATGCTCCCAGCAGGGTGCCTTGTGCCAGGGGGACCGCGCCTTCCTCCCCTCTCAGTGAAGCGCCGCCGTGAGCTGGATCCCCTGCATCCTCTGGCCGAGCTCTTTTGGGGGACGCTTTATTCTCATCCCAGAATGCCACCATCCTGGCAGCATCGTCCTGGCGTTTTGAGGTGCCCTGTGGATGGGTCCTCATCTGGGGAGGGCAGCGGGCAGGAAGGCTGGGGCTGCCTTTGTCCTGGGTGGAAATGCTGGCTTGGACGTGCTTCCTGATGGCGGCAGCTTGGAAACTGCTGGCTGCTGGCCCAAAACCCTCGGAGTCAGATTTGGGGTCCGCACTCCCAAATGGGTCTCTTTTTCCCACATCCCCCCTTCCCAGGGCACTAAAAGGCTTTTCCCGCAGCACCTGGGGCAGGCTTGACCCTGTCGGCACTCCCCTCCTCCTCCTCCTCCTCCCCAGCCCCACACACCAAAGGGCTGGAAGTTTTTTGGGTTGGTTCCCCCCCCTTTACCTTTTTTCCCCTTTCTCTCGGAGGCCAGGGGTCACACCACTTCCATTTCCCCTCAGCGCCGCATTCCCGGCAGCGGCGGTGAGTCAGCCCCGCCGGTCTCTCGCAAGGCCTGCGCCAGCACACTGGCTGGGGGGGGGCGGGCTGCGCCACGACCCGCCCCC